TGAATAACATAAATGGATTGAAATATTTAATTAAATTATCTCAAAATAAACCTTCATTTTGGTGCAAGATTGATATTAACTTGAATTCTTCATAACCTCTAAATAGTGGGTGACCCAACGTGTCATGGGTGGTCTAGTAGTTAAAGTAGACTAAATGTTTTGTATTAGTGTTTTTATTTATTTTAAATTATATAAATTATAGGATTTTGTAAGTTTTGTGAAATGTGGTAGGTTGAGATTTGTTTTTAAATATGTATAACAATCCAAAAGGCAGTAATTCAATTATCATTGAATGAATAATTATTTCCATGCATTAAGTTGATAAGAAGAACAAGAGAGGGAAAAGTTTTAACTCTATCAATTCAATGTGACTGATTGTAAAATATGTAACACTACATAATTATTACATATTCAAAGACTGAATGCTTTAGATTTTTTTTATGAAAAACGATTTTGGCAAACACCATGACATACTATCATTGGAAGCTATAGTCTCCATAAGGCCAGTTTATTGTTGAAAAAACTATTTTTTATTCTTCACACGAAAATTACCTTTAACTTGGACTGACTCAGTAAATACTTGTTTAAAAAAACGTTTATACTTAACTAAACAATCAGATTTCTTTTTGTGTACATAAGACTAAAGGTTTACTAAAAGCTTACAAAATTTCATTAATATACACTTGCTACATGTGGGGGTTCAAAGTGTGCATGCTCCAACTTTGTACAAAGTGCCATTCAGCATGGTAGTATGAATTTGATGTTAGAATTATAAACTTCTCATTTATCCTACATATCTGATTTGCCAACAGTTCATGCCAGAGTAGAAAAATACCAGATACACTACACAGAGATACTGAGAAAAACCTTGGATATATATTTAGGAGATTGTAGAGGTTATACAAATGAAACTTGCAAACCTTAAAATGGATAAAAGCATTTTTATTCTTCACATGAATATCACCTTGCACTCTGACTTTTCTGAATCAAACTGACTTCATTATTTCAGAGATGTATATTTAGTACAAGACCTTTATCAACACATCTAACTTTTTTGTATACAATAGTCTTGTACTGTTTGCCAAAAATTTGCCATATTTCATGAAAATACAATTTGTTATTCAGTTAAAAGTTATAGTGTGTATAATTTCATGGTTACATGGTGGTTACAATGTTGGTCATATTGACTGAGCCTGTATATGGAGAGTTAATGAATTTTAATAAACTTAACAGTGCTTGCAGTTACATATAATTATGCAAAGACATATCCTTGGATGCTTGATAAAAAAAAACATACCCATAAATTTTCTTCACCACTACTTTTGTAATTAATTACATTAGTCTGGTGATAGTGTTGAAAGACAGCTCTATGTCTATATATGAAACATTAGTTTATATTTTCCAGCTCTTGCCCTTCAACTTTTGTGTCTTCAAGCTAACTGTCTCATTAAAATAGTAACTTAAACAAAATGCTAGTGGTGCTATCATGTAAACAATGTTTCATGTTTGTGAAACCCTTTGCTGCCTGAGTGGTTTTCATGGGTAACCACTTAGGTATGATTAACTAAGGAGAAACTATTCATTTAAATGAGTCATTTAGACCACATAAAATGAATAACTCAAAATTTTAGTTAGTATACAGTTTTAGTTTATCAAATTTGAAATCCTAATTAACAATTAACATCAAGAAACGTTAATTTATTATGATAGTTATAGTTTTCACATGAGTAAATTAATAGTTTGCTTGTAAATTTGAAAAAATAAAATAACTGGACTAATGCAGTTTTGGTTTTTCTGTTTGAAACCTGCATTTTTCAGACTTCTTTGATTATAAAACAGAAATATTTTCAGAAATAAAAGAGCTATATTTATGTATAATTTTTGAAAAAAATTATAGATTTAGAGTAACATTCAAAGGCTAGGAGAACATTTAAATTTTTTCTGTAATTCTTTTTTTATAATTAGTTATTTTATTTTCATTGATTTATTTTCCCAAGAACAATCTTTGTTTGAACTTGTAATGACTTCATGTAGACATGTTTTTTTAATTTTAATATTTGTTGTACTTTCTGCACTTGTGTAATGTCACTATTATTGTTATTGTATAGAAAGAGTAATCTGAAAAAGAATACATTACTATAAAAGACTGGTGATTAAAAACTTCAAAATTTTTATTGCAGGTTTATCCAGTGAATGGCCTTCCACCTCAGCCTTCCTTTAAACCATATGGTAACAGTGGTAGACATAATATCCGGGGAAGGTAAATATTAAGATTTTTTTATACTGATTAATTCACTATATATCCAGTGTAAACACTTTTTCACAACAAATAATACATAGTGTATATGATTGCAGGTAAGCAATGTTTCTCAAGTGATACGCAGAGTATAAGGTTGCAAGTGACCACTTTGTTTCACAACAAGTGTACGTATTGTACTAGGTTGCAGGTGAACACTTTGTTTCACAACAAGTGTACATATTGTACTAGGTTGCAGGTGAACACTTTGTTTCACAACAAGTGTACGTATTGTACTAGGTTGCAAGTGAACACTTTGTTTCACAACAAGTGTACGTATTGTACTAGGTTGCAAGTGAACACTTTGTTTCACAACAAGTGTACGTATTGTACTAGGTTGCAAGTGAACACTTTGTTTCACAACAAGTGTATGTATTGTACTAGGTTGCGGGGTGAGCACTTTGTTTCACAACAAGTGTATGTATTGTACTAGGTTGCGGGG